GAAAACCATACAAAATTCAAAAGGAAGCAAACAAACAAAATAAAAACAAAAAGACTAGACAAAACATAGACAACCTCAACCAAAAAGAAAGCCTAAGATGTTAAAAACTGAAACACTCTTAAAATAGGTCAAAGGGGGCATCAAATAATAAAGTATTACATTTTAACCTAACTACATCTACCATAATCGACTTTACAATGCTCTCTATCTGATAGCAAGGCTTTTCACGTCCCTGAACTATAGTCAGAGGAGATTCAGCAGAAACTTAATCCATGTGGGGACCCTGCAAATGAATGTTGGCCTTCTACCGTCATCTATGGCCTTCTGAAAGCGAAGTGTTCACAATTTAAGGTCTGATACTATTCCCTCCTTTGGATTTGGATTTTTTATTTACAATTCTTAGATCACACGGGCTGGTGTACTTCTTCCATGTGGGCTTAGTTGGCCCCTTACTTAGATGGCCGCTTGCTTAAAGACATGCCTTTAAGACATCAGACACTATTCTGATAGCTTGGCACCCCCTGGTTTCTTCACCTCACTTCACTATCGTGCCCGTATCTTCAGTGATCTCTTCATGTGGGCAACTATCAAGTAGGGCCGTGTAATAAAGAACTAACTGTTCTTAAATTGGGGTAGAATTAAGTGTGATGTACGGTTAATATTAAGGGAAAATATTTGATTTTTCATCTGTGACAGATTTCTGCTTTACACCAGCTCTGACTTTTGCAGGTTTCACAGTGTCTTCCTACCGTGGCTTTGGGTAATTTTCTTTCTTTTACTGACAATGCTGTGAGTAAAAACCATTACCTAGCTTTATAGTTGAGAGAGTCCTTCGCATTGCCATCTCCAATAGCCCTAGGACAGTACCTGGCACACAGCAGACCCTCCATATTTATGAAGGAATGAATGATGGATTGATTAACTGAACACATTTTTTATGGATATAAGAATATTTATCTCATTTTATTGGTATGGTGACAAAAGGTCAAGGTAGTAAAATGACTTTTCCAATTCCTTTTATGGTACTAGGGCTCAAACTCAGCTCTGAGTCCCATGGCAGTCAAACCTTAATTCTAAACCCTCAGTCATGTAAAATTTTAGTGGAACTTTGGGATTGCTTGTGCTGTGGGCCTAACACAAGCAGTTAACAGGAAACTCACAGTAGTTGACTGCTGCCCCACCCAGATACCAGCGCATTGCACCACTGCACAACTTTTGCATATTTTGCTACGAACAGCTAGAAGCTGCAGATCACCTCAGCCACTGAGAGAAAAGTGGATGTGCCTCTGGGAATTCTAGACTTCGCCCCATCCTCCAGGCCTTGGCAACTTAGAGCCCCAGATAGCGTGAGGTGGAGTACCAAACACAGCTGCTGCACTGTGAGGCACAACAAGCTTGGAAGTGTGTTCTTTTGTTCTGGAACTCCCCTTAGGAGCCAACTGACTCCGCATTCCCTGTCCTGCTTCCCCCTGTCCTTTATTGTTTTTCTGGAGCCCTTTCTTACGATGTCATTGTCCCCCCCGGACTTGTCTCCAGGCCTGCTTTTATAAGAAGGTGACCTGAGATATTCATGGGCTTTCCAGTGGAAATGCACCACATGCAGACAGCTAAGGCCATAGAGTCAGTCCCCACTCAGAGCCACCCTACAGGACAGAGCCCAACCGCCCCCGGCAGT